AGTACAGGAACTGACCTGTACAAATTATGGGGGCCAAAATAACTGTTTTCATTCTAGGTCCTGTATATGATTATTTGTTTTGGGGAAGGATTTACAGATTTACCAGTACCTCTTAAATATATAAGCCCGGCAAACAAAATAGCGATATGTTTTTTTCTGGAAAGCTTATTGTTCAGTCAAAAACTAAATATTACATGTTATGAACAGAAGCAAGGACCTGACAAAGCAAAGACTTATTAGGACTTATTTTGCATCACAGAAAACACAGGTCTGGCCAAAGGACTAAAAGGAGATTTAGACCAACACAAGGCAGATTTTGAAAAAAACCCTGAAGGAAAGGGCAGGAATTATTATTTAGAGTGAGTAGAAACCATAGAGCTGGCAAAGGCTTTAAGGGAGAGGGCAGAAACTATCTGGATGATCCTGCTGCTTTTGTCTCTGTAAGGGGCAGTACAATCCTAGCTTTGAAAATATGCCCCCAAACCAGCCCAAGCTAAATATGGTACTGAAATAGAAAGAAAATTTTGAGCTCCAAACAAATGCAGAATCCCTGAGACTACTGAATTTGCTGTACAATTACCTCTCCACAATATTACACAGTCTCCAACCAAATACTATTAGTGTGGCTCACAGAGCAATTCAGACACTGCTGCACTTCCTCAAACCATTTTTGGATTCCAAGAGAATCATCAAGCTTCCAAGAGAATCATCATTCTTAAGGGTAAAGCACAGGAGATGATTTGTTCACATGTTTCAGCACAATCTGGTTTTCAAAAATTTGTTTCTTACATATATTTTTGTATCCAAATTTTTAGAATTGTTTAAAGGTAAAAAAAATCATATTTCTCAAACACTGTTTTTTTTTGTTCTTCTAAGAGAGCAAAAGAGGGTTTCTAGCACTCCACTAAACCAGGACTCCTGTCTGTTGGTCTGCAGGGAAAGAAGGCTGAGGCATCAAAAGCATTGCAGTTAGTGAATTTAATCCTTCCAGTGCAATCAGTCTGCAATGCGATCTGATTAAATTTAAAGACTCAAACCTCAAGTCCAGTACTTTGGGTCAAGACATAAATAGACAAAGAGGATGAAAGAGAAGTCTCCTGCGGACTTAAATGAGCCCTGGGCTCCACAGCTCAGGTTAAGATTTCTGAGGAATGCAAGCCAGGTGGATTGATTTAACACAGCATTAGTAAACATCTGGAAAAGAAAAATATGTGCATCAAAAAATAATCATGAGACAATCTTCTCAGTGTAAAATAACCAGTGGAATGTGTGACACATAAAATAAGTTTCTGCACACATACCCACACTGCCACCATCAGCTTTGCTTTCTCATTTATTTAGGGGAACCTGTAATTGGCAAACAGGCCCCTTCTCATGGATAACAGAGGAGGTGCTGAGCTGCTGGAGACTTCAACACTGCTGCAAAATAGAGGATGTGTTCATGTGTGTTCGTGCAATGGACACTTGCTGTGCAATATTATCTTGTCTCTACAGATAAATTAGTTGCCTCATGCTCCTGCCAGCTTGATTTGTTTAGCCTTTACAGAGTACAGAATCCATGGAGTTTCTTGTGATTGAATCTCACGTAAAAGGTAAACCTGAGAGCTTATTCTACACTAAGCTATACATCCACCCAGGCAGCCAGAGCATTTGCTGACTTGGTGATGAAAAGAAAGCTATAAAACATACTAGGGAAATCTTGAAACGTCGCTCACTTGACATAGCAATAAGAGCCCTGCATTAAGATGCAGAGCTGATTTCCCTGATCCATGAAATTGCTTGGATATTTAAGGCATTCTCAAACAGAACCAGCACAAAACTCATCCTCCATTCCTGGCACAAGGACACCACGGGTTTTGTGCTCTCCAATAAAAAGAGAGCTCAAAATTGCAGAGATTAATAGTCTTTAAGGGAGCACCTAAACACAATTTCCTTCCTTTCTCAAATAATAAGAAAAAAGTATTAAAAACCTCTTGAATGCTAAAAACTGTTTTGCTTGCTGACACACTGTTCAGGTGCCAGAGATGCTCAAGTTCTCTGTTGTGAGTGGCTCAAGGACCTCTCACAATAAAAAAGTGCAGTTCCGTGACCATCTTTGGAGAAGGACATTTGTTTCTCTCTTAAATAAGAGACACGGTTGGAATAGGTACAATAGCTGGAATGTTATGAAAAATATTATGAATATATTGCATTATTTCATGGTCTGAGACTTAGGACATGGTTCAGAATCCCTTGCCATGTGTACATTTTCAGTTGCTAAAAGACCCATCTATACTTACAAATACTGGTGATTTTAGGGCCAGGTATAATTACTTCCAAAGACCCATGCAGTAAATACACACAGTAAAGGGGGAATTTGAAAGGGCCATAAGCTTCCCTAGAACATTGATCTGCAGGCTGTGCTACCTTAGGTGCAAAGGAGGAAGCGAGTACAATAATGAAACTACAATTAGGTCATGAATAGCTGCCCAGTAGGTAACTGGAAAGGCTTTAACACAAAATGCACACACCAGCAGCTTTCACAGCACCCAAAGGGACTGGTAACACCAACAGACAATCTTATCATTGATTTCTAGACAAAATCTCATGGGAAGGGTCATCTCCTTCCAACCTGTTGCATATATTTCACATTTAATTTTCAGCATCTCCATTGCAAAGAAAAACCTGAGACTCATATTTAGGTTCAAGATTTTTCTTGTACATGGATTACCATTTCTTCTTGTGAACGAAGAATGAGAATTCCTAAATCTTTTTCAGACTAAATTTCTCAGTTTTTGTCTTCAGCTAGGCTGATGGCTCTTCCCATTTTGTGGTAAAATTTTGCACTCAGCAATTGAAAAGTCAATACTCTTCTGCTGCTTCCTGTACTTCTGTTCCTCCATAGCACATACAGTCGCCTATATTTACACAGATATGCAGAATTACACAAAATACAAAGGGAAAGGATTCTTGAAACCATCTGCCATGTAACCCCATTTAAAGCAAAAGCAGCTACACCTAATTAGCTCCTGAGATACGCTTGCCTACCCTACTTAAACAGTCTCCACAAACTCCCTTGGATATTTATTGTGATGTTTTGCTATTTTTACTTTTAGAATGTTTTTCTAATGTTTGGTCTGTTCCAGAAATTTTAATTAAAAGCTCCCTCAGAGGAGACTGGATTATTGTGGATTCTCATATATGAAAAAAAAAAAACCCAAATAAATCCACATCCAGTAACACGACACATTGAATTTAAGGTTCATAAATTATTTGTAGGTCACATAGGTGTTTTTTCAAACTTTGTGATTCAGTTTAAATGAAACGAGCTATTTATGTATCCACCCTATTGTTCACTTAAAAGAAGATTTTGATCATGGTAATTTCTTTCCTGATTGAAGTTTTGAAGGCTCTAAATTCTCTGAAGAAAATAGTTGTTGGCATTTTTGTATGATAAACATCCCAAAGCGATGATGATAAATTACAGTGTTGCCCAATGATGCAGAAAAGTAGAGAAATGTAAACTGATAACCTCTGATTTATGAATACACTCTTATTATTGCAAAGTCTAGGAGTTCACAGTTGTAAGAACGGGTCATTTTCATGTCAGTGTTTATTAAAAGTGTGAGAAGGAGGCATGAAGGGTGGCTGCCATTTTGCAATAAACACTTAATGCTCTTTGTTTCCAGCACAAACACAAAGCAATACAGAACTCGCCTCTTTAAGGCCTACATAAGCATTTATTACTGTTCTCAATCACAGAAGATGGGAATTTTTACATCTGCCTTTGTTCATTCATAGAAATAATTCTTCTCACATATAACCATTCCTATACACCTTTACTTTACAGAGAGAAAAACTTGTCCAAGATATTAAAATAAATCCACAGATTTTTTTGTAAATCTTATTGGTGATAGTAACAAAATTTACTCCAAAAGTATTTAAACTTATTATTTCACCTATCAACAGAGACTGCCAGTGAAACCCACCCAACACATTCAGTCATGAGTCAAGGAATCTGTTTTGGCACAATTCAGAAATAAATTTCAATATATTCCTTTATCACATCCTAAGCTTGGTGATATTCTAATTTCTTCTCCTCTCTCCCTATTACTTCTCTGTTAAATATTCAAAGCAGGCAGCAAAAGGGAGAAGGAAAAATAAGGTCAATACAGCAAATTGGAAAAAAAGTAAAATGTTCCTATCCACCACCATTTGGTTGTTACAGTTATCTTAATCAACTCAAACAGGTTCTCTGAGACATCTAATTTGATTTTACAAAGTGCTAACCCATAGCCATATTTGACTTTCCTCTGATTCCAAACATAAAAAATAGCCTTTATCTAATGTTGAGGCATATCATCTAACTACACATGCAATTGCATTTGCATTACGAGGCAGTGAAACATGGCTGGAGAGACATCTCGGATGTTATCTATGTTATTACTCAAGTGGAGAATATAATCATAAATCCTCTCTTCCCTTCCATCCTCCCACCTCTTTTTTTTGGAAGTACACTTAAAATCTGGTTTTTAGCTTCACTGGGCCCATTACATTTGAACTTCAGTAACAAGAATGTGATATGAATACGTTGAGAGAAAGCATAGACAAAAGGTATATTTTCATAATGTGGTTCAGTTTAACTGCCTATAATTAGCTACAACTCATTAGGCAATAAACAGAAAAACAAAGAGATCATGAATGGAAGGGCAATATTTTCTCCATAAAACAAACAAAAAACTAAACCAGATGCCTCTTTCATGAGGCTTTCCTTGCATAAATACACCCAGCAGCTTAGAAAAGATATTTTCTTGATTGAAAATTTTTGCCTAGGAAGAAAACCTGTAAACATTATCTTGTGCAATTTCAATAAAAAGTATTTACTGCTATTGTACACTTGGGATTTTTTGACATCAAAGATAAAGTAACAATGCAGCAATGGACTGCAGATGATGAGCTTTGATTTTTTATTAGTTCTTATAATTGTGTCTTAATTTGTATTCTGCATAATAAGCACTCACCTTCACCGTCTGTCCAGCTTCAGGGCCATCCTGTAAGCAAAGGGAAAAGTCTCAGGTTAGAGGATCTAACAAGGATCACAAAGGAATTCAGAAATCTAACTCAATAATAATTTCCATCAATTACACTGTCTGCTAAATTAGCATATTTTTCCTGAGGACCATTCTACACTAAGTTTTTGGACAAAGCTCCTTTCCATATCAGACCCCAGCAAAATGGGAAAATATCTCACATCACAAAAAACAAGAGTTTCTATTTTCCATTTTTTCAGATTATATTTTTCAATAGCTAGCAATACATTTCTGATCCTTGTGAACATAAAATCACACGTGGAAGTAAGAATTTAATCAAAGTATGCTTGCTTAAATTCTGATTCTAATGAATGGGCTTAGTCTCCTGGTTTGCTTTAAACAGAGTTCATTTTTGGTATAAAAACACGCAGCACAAATAACTGAAAGGTCAGAATTTATAATGTATTTACATGGCTGCAGCTCTCTGCCTGCATATAAATAGCTGTGAGGGGGGATCACCTATCTCAGTGTGGAACAGGGGATGTGGCTGCCTTCTCTAGAGGTCAACCCTGCAAACACTTCTTTGGAGGAAGAATATTTCCTGAAATGCTCACAAACAAGCACAGCATTTGAGAGTGTTTGCTGCCTTTATCTAAGGTTTTGCAGTTATCAATTAACCACACTTTCCCCCTGGTTTCCTTTTTAGATTTGTTAATGGCAAATCTGGAAGACCGCAATGCAGTTTTTTGGCTTGTTTTTTATTACAGTTATTTTGCATTTATTGCCCCTTGAAGTTCCAATGTCCTTATATAAAAGGCTGAAAGCTTGATAAAACAAACCATTAAACCTATTTTAGTTGACTGGTTTACAAACCTGGATGGAAAAGGTGAGTGAGGTGCCACAGAAATGTTTCTCCACCACATTTCCAACCCTTTGCGCCGTACGAAACAAATCGGCCACTTCCTCGGGACACAGGTCACGGAAACGCTCCACCGGCCGCAGGGGACAAACAAGGACATCTGAAGGTGGCAGTGTCAAGGCACAAACACAAATCTGAGTGGTCCAGAACAGTCCCAATCCCCACCCTGTAACCTGGTTCTGACCACCCTTGAATCGCCTGAGCTCTTCCTCTCTGGTGATACAGCAAGAACATCAAAAACATAGGGCTAATTGCAAGGAATTATATGATGCTTTGCTCAGAATTCCTTTCCTCAAAATCCCTCAGATATGGGCAAAATTGCTAAGGCTCTTGTGCTATAATGAGACATTTAAGGGAAAGCAAATTTTTCACAAACTCAAATTTACCATCTCAATGGAGAAATCCTCCTATTTATCTCCCATGAAAGTCAGAGTTGTTTTCTTTTGTGATTAAAAATGGGGGAAAGCCAAAGAAATTTAAGAGGGCTTTGAATGTGTTGTCTGAGACAGCAGTTTTACAATGCTTATCCCCATATGTGATATATATTTTTGAAAATCTTGATCTTACACTTCTACTTTTAGCCACCTAAGTATGACAAGCTGGCACTATGCTGATTATAGCAGATCACTTATTTCTACACATTAATCACAATTCACAAGGAAGGCTCACCTGGTGTAACTATAATGTGTTTTTAGAAATACATTAAGATAATTAAGACTATTTCCTTTTAAGCATAGTGTTCATAACCCTGTAAATGTACTTTGATTTAATTCTACCTTGGTGACTGAGATTTGAGAGTCAGTGAAATGAAGCTATAAAGTAAATAATGGAAGTACACAGACACTGCTCACAGTCATCTGATCTGCTGTGTTCACAGTAATTAATAATTGCTATGATTCCCCACTTGAAAGTCAATTATGTAACATTATTAATATGGTCCAGAATTCTTAGCAGAGCCTCAGTTGTGTAGATCCAACAAGCAAGTACTTGATTCTCATTTCAATTCCCTGCAGACAGAATTCTTTGCTGACTTACAGAATAGAATTTGCAGAATGAAGACCTTAAAGTAACCTTTAACACCACTTGAACTTTCATGACCAAAGGCTACAAAAATTATTTTTTTCCAGTATTAAAACAAGCATTCGAAGGGCAATTTGAAGAAAATTAAGTTCCATGCCATTGTATTACAGTCATCTTTATTTTTACTGCATCTTGAAGCCTGCAGGTATTCAGGAATATTCTCTATAATCCAGGAAAGGTAAGTAGGAGCTGCTCTGCAGTTAACAGGTTCACAAAAAGGTTACATCAACCTGATTGCCAAGAATCACATAAGACACTTGAAATAAGGAGAGATTAATACATGTGAAAGATCAATTATTTCCATAAGCACAGAGACAACATGTTTACACACACCAAGGTTAGAAGAATCACGCTTACCATTCTGATAGGAGAGAAAACCAGACATTTTCTCAAAGTAAAGATGTAGTGGCAGGTTTTGATAATTTTTCAAAATCCAGATGAGGACAGACAAGTCAGTAATGGATATTTGCTACAGTGGGAGGAGAATCGAGCAAGCTGTACCTGTAGCAGCTCCCAAAAGAACAGGAGAACTGGTCCCAACAGTGGGTGTTAATCTGCTTTGAAAATCTATCTCTCAGGGTTTTTTTGTACAGAATCAGCCATGCCACCATTATTCTCCCTTTATCTTGTTACAATTTATGGTATTAACATTTAAGAAAGGAGAAAAATATATTTAGAAAGCAGGTACTTGGACACGAAACAATCCTGGAATGGAACAAAACCCCCAGTTTTGTGGGGTTTTAGCTCTGCAATGCTGTGTCCCTTGGTAAATTACCAGGCATAGTAAACCCTTTGTAATTAATTTGTGCCTTCCCAGTGCATTGTGCAAAGCACATCCATAAAGGATGCTATTGGCTAAACTTGGGGCCCAAGGGGAGAGCTGCAAAGATGATTGGCAGACCTGATTTCCATATCAGGAATAAAGGAATAGAAAAACTAATTAATTTTGCTCATAAAAAGGAAATCCATGTCAACACTAAAACAGGAAAAAGGACATTTGTTTAATCTGAGTTCATTTTTCAAAAGGAGAGAAGGGAAGCTTCCACCCTTAGGGCATCTGATACTTAAGTAGATAATTATCCTTCTTCTGCAGCACTGCTTTATTATCATGGCTCAATGAACCATTTATAAATGAAGAATTTCCCCTCACTTACCTCTAGCAAAACTACTGCTTACATTAAGACAAGTTTCCTTTTCTCCTTTTGGATTTTCCCCGGCAGTGTCTCGCCCTCTCAGACTCACACACACCTCACCAACAATTGTTTGTTCTCTACCTAGCTCAGGGCCACAGCCACAACTTTTTGCATTAATGATGGTTTCTACAATCTGATGTTAGCACTGTACTGTTTGCCACTGCATTGGAAAACAAGAGTTAAACAGTTCTTGGGAAAGCTTTTATTTCCATGGCACATCACAGAGGGAGCGAGGGCTGGTTCTGACTAAGAGAGGACAGGTTTTCTCTTAATTTTGTCACTAATCTGCACTGTCATTTGGCAAGTTCTCTGTATCTCTCTTTGCCTCTTCCACACCTCATCTGTCTTATCTGCTTAGATAGCATTTGCAGTTTCTTACCAGCCATGAACCTCTCTGCTCATCTGGGGCCACCAGTGCTCCTGCAGTACCTAATGCTACACCCATGGCACTCTGAAAAAAGGACCTGCACTTCCTTCCTACATTACCAAAACCCATTTACAACTCAAACTAGATTTTAGCTATATTTCTGTCTTTGAATTTGATAAATAATTCAAAGGCACAATCACAGAATGGAGCATCTTTTCTGAACTTTCCATCATTTCAAAATAATTCTACAAAGAATAATGATAGAAAATCTGAATCAGAGCTAAATTAACATGAGAATGTAATTAGGACAACATTCAAGTTATATTTAACTATGAATACATTAAAAGGAAAATGTTAGAATGAATTAATGAATTTGAGGTCATTAGGAAAACAACCATCCTCTGCAAATTTAAATCATGGTTTTTAACTAAAATTTTTGATGCTAGTATAGTATGTAATTTTATATCTGGTCAGATTTTAAGCTATACACCTGCTCTATTCACCTCAGAATTCTTACTAAGTTTAAAATTAGATAAACTGTTCATTACCTTCTACAATAACCCATTGCAAACACTGCTATGAACCAACTTCAGGTGACTGTACATTAAAAATGTGAGCGAAAGTGAGTCTGTACTTACGTTTATGCGCAATTACTCTTTAGACTGAAGCATCTACTGCCATCTGAGAGGCCCCAGGGCGTCCAGCTGCCACTCCAGAAGGGCAGGAGTCTCCCATATGCCCCATGTCATAAATGCCAGTTGGGTGGGAAAATCTGGGGGTGTCTGAAATAGCCGTAGGTGCCCGTGTCTGGACAAGAGCCCCATTTTATCAGAGTGGCTCAGCAGGACAAAGTGCTGCTACCCAGCACAGGTGCTGCAACTCTGATGACAGCATTCTGCCTTCAGAAAGTTTGAACTTTGTCTTTTCCTTTCTCTGAACACTGTAATTAATAATTTTTTGATTTCTTCATTCATTCTGAACTGCTACTGACTGATGAAGTTTCTATTTTTAAGCTTTGATGTGCACAGCTGTTATTTCCTTCAAGTTGTCTGAGTCAGTCCACATCACTAGAGCACATGCAATTTAATATGTCAGCTTCTCCATTTTAAGGAGTGAAAAACCTTTACACCTTATTATAATCTGTAACAGCACATTTCTCTCTCTAAATCTTGCAGAAGTCTCCCAACAGCCTTACTTCTCTCCCTAATACCTAAATACGCATACACAAATCAATATGCAAACCCTTGCACACTCTAAAATCTCCATTAAAGATTCATTAAATAACTAAGAATGTCAGTATGTTTCAGATTACCAGCAGATAGTAGCCTAAAACTCCAGGTATTTTAGTGGAAATACATAACCACAAAGGAGCAGTAAAGCCAGAGTGTATCAGACCCATTTCCCTCAAACTGAGCTAAAACCTAAGGATGTTTCAATATTTTCAATGGAATCACTTGTACTTTTATATTGGGCACAGCAGACCACTCCCTGCACAATGTTGGGCAGGTTGTTTAATGCACCAAAGGCCATGAGCCTCTTCCATAATTCAAATTAACAGCCTGTTGGTCTGTTTGAGACCTGTTTGGAGAAGCTGTGGCCAAACAAGCAGGGTTCAATTCCTGAACAGCTGCAGCACAAGGATGCTTAACCCTCTGTGCCCCCTCTCAGCCCTCACCACTTGGCACACACCTGGTAAATCTCTTTTGTTTCCCATTGCCCTCTGAGGCCATGAGAACCGGAGCCCTTTGAGATGGGCACTCTGAGACATTTACTGTGGGACAGTCAAAGCTCTGCTCAAGCACAGATCCCCCCTGGGCACGTGTGGATTGAAGGATGTGCTCACCCTGGGGATTTTGGGCCACGACTGAAAAGTGAGATCGTGATAACCACACGCTGGCTTTAAGCTGATCGGAGAGAGAAGACTCAGATTCTACAAGAAAATCAAATCTCCTGGCCAGCATCTACATGGTGACCACTTCAAATGTAATTTTCCTTCCACTAATACACACAGAGTGGAGGCTGAAATTCAAAGGCTCAGCAGTAATTTTTATTTGCTTTATATGAATTTTGACTTAGAAGCTTAAATTATTGTAATTGTGTATTTAAGGCCTAGGCCAGGCTCTATGTTCGCTTCAATGGGACTCCACTCAACCCCACAAAGTGCCTATTATAAATTTTCACACATAACTATTGAGGTACACACATTCTGTAGTTCTGAAGTGTTGGAAAAATGGCCTTTGGGGGGGTCAAAAAAGAAAGAAAACCAAAAAAAAAGAAACCCCAAAGAGGTTAAAATTCCTTTTATGTGACAAGCTTTAGAACTGAACACAGCTTTTTCCTGGTTAAGTCCATTAATTTGCTATACAGAAACATACTTTCAGTTTTGACTCTTGTTTTATTCCTGAATTTGAACTTCAAACAGAACAATTCAAAGCTTTAAAAAGGAAAAAATTAAAGGCT